GACGACGACGACGACGACGACGACGACGACGACGACGACGACGGCGGCGGCGGCGGCGGCGGCGGCGGCGGCGGCGGCGGCGGCGGCGGCGAAGCGACGACAAGGACGACTGAGGGGCGAGGCCGAGGGGGGGTCAGGAATCTCCAGGAAGGCCGAAGTCCCAGGAGAAGACTCCGGGAGGGCCCCTGAACCCAGGCATCAAACCTTGAATTAGGTCGAGCATGTCCTCCTACAGGCGGATTTTGGACGAAAATGGAAAACTAATATATCCATATATCTATATATAGATACAAAATCGAAAGATCGTCCACCGACTATTTTTTGACTATCTGTGAATCTTCCTCCTGTAGAGGGACGCGCCCGACTTAACTCCAACCGTGAAGAAAGCACGACAGAAGGATTTTCTGCCGTCTTCGGCACCTGGGGCGGCCCTCGCCAGGCCCCTAGGAAAACGCCAAAAAACACGGCACGGGGCCGACAGCAAAACCTTCTCCCGGTGAGCGGTCCAGCGCTCCACGGACCCCGTCTTCCCCTCCTCCATCAAATTCCTCGGCGCCTCTCCCGTGCCGCTGAATACAGTCGGACTTGATTGGACAGGACACGCGAGAGGACACAAGACCCTTCCGAGGGCCACGTTGCCATGGGAATGTAGAAGGCATGGGTCGCGAGACACGGCCGACCAGAAAAACTTTCGCCGGTGAGTGGTCCAGCGCTCCACGGACCCCGTCCTGAGGAAAAAGGCAGGCAGCGGAGGTCCGCCGCCGCCGAAATCCCAGGAAAGCCAGGCCCCTGGGAAGCGTCAGAAAACACGGCCGCGCCACCCACAAAACTTTCTCCGGTGACACGTGGCCCAACGCTCCACGAAGGTCCCGGGAAGGCACGGAAGGGCCTCCCGGAGCGGCCCCGCCGGGGAGGCCCCGGGAGGCCCTGCAGGAGCGAAGGGGCCCCAGGACCCATATTTTCCCATATTTTCTGGGCTTCTGTCTTCCCCCCCACTGCCCATATTTTCCCATATTTTCTGGGGAATCGACGATTAATTGTGTCTATGTGTGTTTCTTCCCCTCCTGAAGCACGTCGAGCCGAAACCAGAGAGCCTGAATTCGGGTCGGATCGATTCCACGGGCCCGCAAACCCTCAGGGGCCCATTCTTGCGGACGGCAGGGCGCCTCGGCAGCGCGGCATAGAGCGCCAGGAACTCCCTGTAGCGGCGGTCCACCGTCCTGTGGGCGGAAGAAACCACGACGACTGCGAGCCTACCCCGCCTACCCCGCATTTCCTCCTCCTCCTCCTCCTCCTCCTCCTCCTGCTCCTCCTCCTGCTCCTCCTCCTGCTGCTCCTCCTCCTGCTCCTCCTCCTCCCTCCTTCCCTCCCTCCCTCCCTCCCTCATTCCCTCTCCCTCCCTCCCTCCTTCCCTCCATCCTCCCTCCTCCCGCCTCCCTTCTCCCGCCTCCCTCCTTCTCCCTCCTCCTCCCCCCGTGGCACCTGTGCCAGTGGGTCCCCGAATCAACACAGCGGGCGGGTAGCCTCCCGTTCGTCACCCCGGGCTTGACCCTGGTAGGGAGAGAGAGAGAGAGAGAGAAAGAGAGAGAGAGGGAACCAACAAAAAAGAAGACGTAAGCTTTCCAAAAGCCGCGCCGCGGTGGGAAAGAATGGGGTCCTGCGGCCGGGAGGTTAGATCGCTTGACCGTGCGCGGCCAAGCGGGGGCAATCCAGGATCTCTGGATCCCGTCACTCCTACCGTGACAGGGATAAAACTACCCAACGTCGGGGGGTGGTGGGTGCGGCGAATAGCACGCTGTAGCCCTGTCCGCTGTAAGCCAGTGTGCCGCACCCGGGTACCTTCGACCAATTGGTCGCAATAAGCCAATGGATGCACGCCACCTGGTCCCCCTTGGACAAGGAGACTGGCGGGGGTGGTTGTGGGCACCGTGTCCACACGGGCCAGGTGGCCCGCCTGGTCGTCGTGGGTGTTCCAGGGTCCCGACGTCATTGGGGCGAAGGCTTGGGTCGGCACCTTTTTGGGGGGAGTCGCTATCAGAGCTGAGGCTGCGCGGGGGGACACGGTCGCGGCCGTCGGGCCTGCTGAAATTAAGGTAAACGCTCGGAATGTGGAAATTTCTGGCCAGGAGGAGGTACATACTTGGTGTTGATGCTGTCGTGCCTTGACAACTCCCATTCTCGTGTGGACGTCTTCGTCCGCGCAAGCGAGTGTCCCCCGCTCAGTTTTCACCTGTTCCCCTAAAGACTCTTGTATTGGCGGTAATGTGGTAATCCTCCTCCCTCCTCACCCCTCCCACCTCCCTTCTCCTCTTCCTCCTGCTCCTCCTTTTCTTCCTCCTCCTCCTCCTCCTCGTCCTCCTCCTCCTCTTTCTTCCGCCTTTCTCCGCCCAGTCGCAGGGCAGAAGGATTTGCTCGTGTGCAAGATTCCAGCGACATTGCAAGGGCCAGCTTATGCAAGGCGCTCCTGGGAGAAGGTCGCAAGCTGAAGTGGCCAGCTCTGGCGAAATCGGGCTTCGTCGGCCACGAAGCAGCTCCAATGCGAGGATCAGATCGTGTAAAAAAGCAAGCAGTGACAGCGGGCTCGGTCGCGGCAAACAGGAGTCATGCGAGACACGTCTCAGCTACAACGCAAGATCCACCTCGCGCGAG